AGATTGTGAAGATTTAAGGATGGCTATAACTATATCATTTCTATATCTATACTTATATAAACTATATCTACATATGTATAACTCTGTGTCTCTGTGTGTCTCTCTTTGTGTATGTTTGGTTTTGAGACTTCATATTAGGAAAATTGCCATGAAACTCTTGTCTTTATTTTAATTGAGTTCTTAAAGCCACCAAGAGAAAGTCTGAGCTTGTCTCGTCTCTCCAGACAGCTGTTTTAAACAGTGTTTAGGTGCAGTGCATTGTGTAGAACATGTTCTTGGTTATTCTATTATGGCTAGGTTTGTAGAATAGCTTGTAAATTGGTAAGAATTCTCATGCTGACCTCAACGGCCCACGCTTTGGCTGAATAGCCTTTAAAGGCCAGCCAAAAACCTGATCACCAGTTAGAAGGTGGTTTTGTTGGTAAATGGGACTAATTATATCCTCCAAATGGCCAGCCTAGGAGGAGAGCCCCCCCCTCTCTCAGGCTGTGATACTTCCTGGGCTTTTCCTCTTTTTCCCTCTTCTTCTGCCAGAGGCCATGAGAAGGTATCATGGACCTGTTTCTCTCCCTTCGGCTTTGATCATCTAGAGCCACCTGGCCATCAGCCCAGCGCAGTCTTCGAAGGTCAACCCACCTACAAGTGATCTCTTGGCTGCTGTGGAGCTGGGATCTGGGCCTGAATTAGCTAAGAGTTAATCAGGCTGAAATCAGGGTGTTAGTGTGGCTGCTGTCTTAGCCAAGGTACAGCTGGGGGAAGGATTCGGGTTTTGTGGGCTTTTGGGCCAAACACCTTGGTTTCTTGTTGTCAGTAGAAGTTGTCCTCAGGGGCTCTCATCAGGTGGCTCCCACCATGGCCGCCTGACTGCTCTTCATCACCAGCACGGGAGAGAATCCTGTGGCAGAGTAGATATTATAGTCTTCTATGGTATAACTCAGACATTCTATAATTTCTGATATCCTATCAGTTATAAGTTGACTATAGATCTTACTCATACTCAAGAGAATTTGTAAGAGACAGAGATCACAGGGCTGCTTTGGAGTCTGCCCAACCTGAGCCTGACCAGGACCTTATTTCTCTTTCTGTCCCCTCTGTGCATTCTCCTACTAGGAGCCCCTCCTTCCTGCTGTACTCCCTCCCCTCCTCCCCCTCTTTCTCACCCTCAGAGACTTCAAATTCCTTCAGTGACTTTTTCCTCCTCCTCTTTCCTGCTTTAAAAAAGGTAGCTGCAGTGAAAGAGAAGCAGAGCTCAGTGAGGAGCTGTGTGCTGTAGGATCGTCCTCCCTCTGAGGGTGCTGTTCTGAGTCTGGCGATCATAGTATGTTTTATCTTAAAAAGACCAAGGTGGGCCCTGTGCTCCTTATGCCAACAGCAGGTTCTAAAAGGAAATGGCATTTATGGTGCCATCCTTTCAGGATTTCCAGTGGATTTATGCTAACAGGTTTGTAGCAGTAGCACATTTGGTCCTTGAGTTCTTTGGACTTTTTTTTTTTTCTGATCTTCTAGGATCTTCCTTTGTCATGTGTCTGTCTTGTCTTCAGCTATTTCTCTTAACATTGAAATAGCAGTGTCGTATTGTGGGGGGAACATGGATCGAAGCTGCCTGGGCTTGAGCCCCAGGCTTGACCATGAACGGAGTTGTCTTGAGCAAATCATCCAGTTTTCCTTCTGAATGGATGCTGGCAATATTTTTGAACTACCCCCCACCCCCAGCATCTTCTGATTGTTCTTGCTTCTGCTTCTGAGGCGTATGGACAGATATCAGAAAGACAGTTTCCCCTTTGTTGTTATGAGCAATAGTATACCTGGAGCCATTTCTGGGTGACCTGGTGAAGTGGTCTGCATCATTTCTGAGCTCTTGCAGATACTAATTTTTGTTGCTATGTGGACTTTATCCTGCTCTGTTTGTTAACACTGAGGATAATTTAACACTGAGGGAACATTTGTTTTCCATAGACTTTACTTGAGAACATTAAATATGCCTTTTAGCAATAGTATGACATCTAGCTACAGTACTGATATCACACACACACACACACACACACACACACACACACACACACACACAAAGTATTTGTTTTAGCCAGGCTTTGCATATCTGTTGTGGAGTTTTATCATTGTGTTTGAAGCATAGTTAGGGTGTACTAGGCTAGTCTCAACAGGACTCACACATTTGGATAGTCCTTGTTAAGTGGGTCATCTGACTTCCTTGCTTGGTTCTGCTGGTCCTCCTATTGTACTGTAATCGGATGTGAACTCTACCCTTGTCTTAGTAGGGTTTCTTCTATCTGTCCTTCCTTCCTTCTTTCCCTCCTTCCTTTGCAGCTGTCTATTATGACACCCAGCACGTGAGCTCTGTGGGAGCTAGAATTTTAACTATGCAGTTTTCCTTTACATACTCAGCACCATGCTTGCCAAGTACAGGGTACTCAGAAATACTGAATGAATCAAGCTTTCACTTGATGGACCCACTTTCTATCTTAGAGTCTGGCATGAGTTGGTTATTTACACTTCTGTCTTAGTTAGGGTTTCTATTGCTGTGAAGAGATATTATGACCACAGCAATTCTTATAAAGGAAAACATTTAACTAGGGCTGGCTTGCATTTTCAGAGATTGAATCCATCATCATCATAGTTGGAAACATGGCAGCATGCAGGCAGTCATGGTGCTGCAGGAGAGAGAGGTTGCTGAGAATTCTACATCTGGATGCACAGGCAGCAGGAAGAGACAGTGAATCACTGAGCCTGGCTTGAGCATTTGAAACCTCAAAGCCCAGTGACACACTTCCTCCATCAAGGCCATACCTCTTAATAGTGCCAGCCCTATAAGCCTGTGGGATCATTTTCATTCAAACCACCACAATCCTTAAAAGCTTGTGCTTTTAAATCCCAGTGCTTGGCAGAATGAATGGGTGGTTCATTAGTTGCTGACATCACTTTTAATCATTTGGAACAGCTGGCACATTACCATTCTTGATCATAATTTTAATTCTTTCAACTAATTTATTAAAATATCTCTTGCAATAGTAAATAAGGTGTTTTGCCTCTTGCATTAAGGGGGACTAAGCTCAAAGCAGACAGATATCTTCCTGCACATTGTCCATGGCCATTCTGAAGGTAAAAGCAGTGTGCATCATTGGAAGGAGTGTCAAAGGGGTAATTTAGAGACATCCAGGATACCTTCTGTAGATTAGTTCTGATACTTCCTCAAAGCTGGCATGACTTTATCCACACTGTCCTCAATAAGGCTATGACATGGTGCTGAGGGAAGCCTTGGAGGTGAGCTGTCCATCATTTTCGGCATGGCTCCCACGTTCTACAGATGCATGTGGAGTACACTGCGTCTGTTGGAAATGAGTCATCTTTTCCAGTCCGCAGAAGGAACTCAGTACTGATCTGACACCAACAGACACACAGCCCACTTCTGCTGGCTGATGTCAGGGAAGGCTACCAAAGAAGGGGGGCAATCTTCATTTAACACTCCATTATGATAAAAATGGGTCTACTAGAAAAGACAACAACAGGGAAGATTCACTCATGATACCTCAACAGTATGGTTGCCTAAACAAGACCTGAACAGGGGTAACAACAGTAGACATGTGAATGTGAAAAGGAGGCTCTCATGGGGCCCTACTTCCAGAAAGAGCGACAAGGGAATAATGACTGCCTGGAGAGGGACAACTCACCATCCCCAGGAATGGACCCCACTGGTTAAACACCAAGTGGTCAGCCCTGAGATCATATGTGTATAAAGTACAGTAAACAGACTCACCAGATTGTATTTATTACTGATGACTAAAGAAAAGAGGCCGTGAGCTTGAGAGAAAGTGGGAGTGTATGAGGGGTTGGAAGGGCTGAGGGAAGAGGAAATTAATAGTCTCTGTCGTAATCATGTGAGTTACATGCTAGTTGGGATCTTCTTTTGAGGACACCATACAATGGGCCTGAACACTCATCTCTAATGTCTGGTCTGCTCTGAACTGTTGGCGTTATTGTCCTTGTCTTCCAGACCTGGACGCTGAGCCTTATGTCAAATTGTACAGTATTCTCCATACTTTTAAAAGCTTCCTTGCAAAGTGACCAGCCATATAAAGCCATAGCTAGCCAATGAGCATGCTCGTCCCTGTTCTGGAACTTCAGTCTCTCCCTGAGGGGAGGTCCTTCCCTCGTTTATTGCTGTTGGTCAGTTCTTCCTGACTAGGGAAACACCTGGATTCATGTGGTGCTTTTTCCTCTGCCTTCCTTAGTCCACCCTGCACCTCCTCCTGGCTTGGGTAGCTTGAAGCTTCTGTCTTTCCTTCAGTGACTGTGGCCCCGCCATATGGATGGAGCCATGTTAGCTTTCTTGTCCTTCTCTTTGCTCTGAGCTAGGAAAGTTAACTCAGGGACCTGTCTGTCAGTGTCATCCACCCAGAGCCACATGCTCTTCACATAAAGTGATGGATGGTTGCATCCTACTGGGAACAAGTGAGATGTTCCCATGAAACATGTGAAAAAAAGAAAGCAAAAGTCCTATTCCTAGTTTGTGACCCTACCTGTTACAAGATTTAAAAATGGATGTGAAATACTGTTCTGAGTGACTTTCTCTTAAAAAACAAACAAACCCAAGCACTTTGTTGAGAATATTCCATTCTTGGGTGATTATTTACACATCTCCAGGATTTGATGAATTCAACCTTGGGCAATAAAGGATTTGTGATTGTTAAGTGAAGTGTTGAATGTCCTTGTTGCCAGGACAACACCTTTGTTGGATCAAAGGATGCTGACCATGCCATTTAACTTAGTAAACTATCACTACTACACAGACAGTAAGGGATATTTAATGCTCATTTAGAAATGAAGAAATGGAGGCTGGGGGAGAGGAATTCCTGTGGCTAGTAAGTGGAAGAATTTTGGACCATTTGGGGTTTTGCTGTTTTTATTGTTACTTGTGTGGTACATTTGATAGAGGTTATTAGTAAGGATCATACAACTAATGAGATTCTTCCTCCTGGTAACAGGTAATGGAGACATACTGGAACACATGGAGAAGCTAGTATCTTGCAGGAATCCAAGATGAGGAGAGTTTTTTTAAAAATAATCCGTAAGTAAATTTTTGCTAGCTCTTTGGAATTCTTTTAATAATTGCGTGAATTGTGCTTAAGAAGTCACAGTAAAAGGACAGTACAGTCAAATGACATTTTTCACAGTAAAAGGATAGTACAGTCAATTGACTTAAGTGTGTAAAAACTGAAAATGTTTTTAAAAGTAGGTATTAGGGTGAAGTATCGGCTTAGTGGTTGAGAGCACTGGCTACTCTTCCAGAGGATTCCAGTTCATTTCCCAGCACCCACAGGATGGCGTATCACTGGCTGTAACTCCTGCTCTTGGGGACCTACGAGTCTCTTCTGGCCTCTACAGTTACTGCATGCACATAGTGCACACACAGCTGTACATGCAGGCACAACACACAAAATTAAAAGAAAGATTAAGACAAATTTAAAGTAAATATCTAGAAATCTGAGAGCAGGGTGCAAGCATCTGAGAGGGTTTGTTAATGCATGAAACTTTCCTTGTAGAATTTGTCATTTTTAGTTGAGTGCATCAGTTCTAGTGAACAGAACGAAAAAGGCAAGGGACTGGAGAAGTCCTTGTTCTAGGTCAGCAGTTAATCTAGGAATGGCCCCTGGAAAACACAGACGACCTTGCTTTCAGGGCCCTAGAGTCCACTTCCTTAGGTAGCTTTTGTGGGTACGTTAGAAGTGATTAGGAGCAGAATTGCTGACTGAGTAACTTTGATCCATTGCCTGAGACCATTCCCTCTCCATTGTGTGATCCTATCCCTGGAGAGCTGTCACTCAAGCTTCCACATCCTCCGTAGGAAAACAATGGCAAACCCTACAGACCAAAGTAAGTACACCACCAAAGTCACACTTGACGAAACAAAGCATTTATTGGAGTTACTTACTTACGGAAGCATGGCTGAAGGGTCCCATACAGGAACAGGGATGAGTCAAAGGCCACTACATTATTGACAGCCCACCATAGTGTGGTCCATGATTCTCAAAAGATGGGGCTTCAGAACTCTCTGTATGACTTTCAGGCAACTTGACAATAGCCCGGGATTCCTCAACAGCCCTTGCTTCCTCTATGACCTTGGGGAGGGATAGACCTAGGGCATCCATTCAATTTCCAGAACTCCTAAGGACTTCTGAGTTGTTTATTTCCTGAGTCTTAATGAGCTTCCTTCTAGAACTTTGAGTCTTAAGGGGCCTCCTTTACAACTTTCCAGTTCTCAGAGTGCCTTGGAAGAATTGTTATCACACAATGTTATAGTTCTGAACAGTGGTTGGTTATCTGACTGTTACATTTGGCTGGTTTTCAGTTCACTGTGATAATGGTACTGCAGTGCATGTAGCAGTGGAGACCTCAGATACTTTATTAGTCAGGCATTTCTAGACCCACATGCTCTTGTGCTACCTCGGCTCTTTCATCTGTATGGTGGAGCTAATGAGCCCCACTCTGACATGAAAGACTGTCCACAACACTCTGCAGCAGTACAGCTGCACAATAATGCAGGTGCTTTCTGTCAGTATACTTGGTATTGTGATTTACAATTTATAAGCCTTTTCAAGAGACGAGCCAGCTCAAACATGGCAGCTCTGTGAAAGGATGCTGATAAGTCTTTTAGGTAGCAAAGTTCAGTAAGTGTCAGCACTGTGGCTCTGCCAGGATGGCTTCCAGTGTCTGCAGGCTTCTAGCGGGTATAAACACTTTGACTGTGGTTGATTTTAGTCTATCCCAGAAGTGTCGCCCAAAGTGGGTTTGAAAGTGAAATGCACTCCATTATTTGTTCCTCTGTGAATCAGTCATAGTCCCAACCTGCATCAGGAACCTAGCTAATGGTAAAATCGTCAGGACATAATTAATTTCAAGTATTTATCATATTTATTTTTGTTATAAATTTTAAAATGTCAAGTTTATGTAATTTTTAAAGAATTTATTTTACTTTTGCTTATCTGTATGGATGTGTCTGTTTGTGTCCATGGAGGCCATTACAGGCAGGTGTGAGCTGCCCGAAGGAGATGCTGGGAACCAAGCTCAGGTTCTCTGCAAGAGCAGTAAGCTCTTAAGTAAGTTCTTATCCTCTGAGCCATCTTTCCAGCCCAAGCTCCTTTAGTTTAATGATTATTGTGGCCACCTTGCCAGTGGTCCTGAGAAATTAACAGTCTGCCATGAAGGTGTGAGCTGGCTCCAACACACCCCCATGGTGAGCTCCTGCTGGGAAGGCAGGTCAGAGCCTGTTCTGCAGTTCCTGTGTTGGCTGTGATACTAGCACTTTGCTTTGGCTGGTGACAGCAAGGTTTGGTAAAATCCACAATCTCGTGACCACATGGCTTCTAGAGTGGAAGGGCAAGGCCAAGAATTAGTTCGAGCTCAATCTTCCATTATCACGGGTCCCACTGGCATTCTTGAATGGTGAGGTCAGTTTTTGGCAGATCCCTGACATCTCTTGCTTCTTCTGGCTGCTCTGTGACAATTCTTAGAGACAGGTCCCAGCAACTCCCTAGCTTTCTACTTCCTTATCTCCCCCCCCCCCTTCTGTGACAGGTCCAGGCTCAGGCAGTCCCAGCACCTCTGTATACTGCATGAGGTTTTGCTCTTGATTCAGAAATTCAGTTTTAATGGAATGTAAATTGCTTCAAAAGAGACACCATCTAAATGGCTTCAACGTTCACCTTGGCTTGATTATGAAATCTCATAGGGAGTCAGATAGAAAAAGGAGCAGACTCAGGATGAGAATGGTCCACTTTCTTCTGGAAGTACTTTCTTTTTCAGTTTCTCTCACTTGCCCTTTAGAAAGGAATAATTGGGGCCTAGAATTGCTAAGTAACCGTGGAGATTGTGGTGGTTGTTTTTATTCAAAGTCTCTACCACCTAGCTTTCAAAACACTTGTTATTAAGCTGTTTAAAAAAAAGAAAAAAACCTGGCATAACCTGAATCAGATTTATATAATCTTAAAACATTCATTTCTCTTATTTCCTCTTAAAAGGCATTTACAGTCCACAGTGAGCCTGGGGATTATTGAATTGTTCCAAAATTCATTCTTGTCTATTTCATGTGGAAGCTTATGGTTAAAACCAGGGAGAAATCCCTGTAATGTGAATTACCACCCTGGGGCCTCCCTCAGGATTGGTGGTCTTTGTAACAGAAAGAAATCCCGACATTAACAATTAATGAAGTGTTTCACAGGTAATCGATTGTTTCATTATCTCTCAGGACGGCCCTTCTGTGGTTTCCGAGTATCCCAAGTATCAGTGTACAGTGGTCAGATCTGCTAGGTGTGTGGTCTTCAGCTGAGTCCGTGTTGCAGCTTTCTGGGAATCAGTCGTTTTCTGAGTTCTCAATGACATGAGTTTTGAGGGTAAATTCCAATACAAATAAAACATGATAATTCCACTTCAAGGGTCAGCAATGAAGCCTTTCCAAAGAAAACAAACATTTCAATTGGAAGTTTCAAGTCTTAATGTGCAAACCATAAAAGAGAGAGCTTAATTACCCGGGTGTTGATGAAAGCAGGCTAGGTCAGGGTGGGTTTCAGTGGCAGAAAACATTTGATTGGACATTTGCTACTAACTAATGTCTCTATCTAAATTATGGGAGTTAGCATTACTGGTGGGAAAGAACTGCAAAAATGTGGAAATTATTGCATTAAAAACTCATCAGCTTTGAAATACTAGTCGAGGCATCCCTGGGACCTTGGGTCAATCTTGGGATCACACGCCAGTGATGGCGAGGATGGAGTGGAGATGGAATCTGGAAGTTTACATGGTTAGCACGAAGTCTCACGGAAATGGAGGGCCTGCTAATTAAAATAAGGTGCCCTAGTTTGCTCCTTGAGAGAGGGTCGTGCCCCCCCCCCAGCCTTCTTTGGATATCACCAGCTCAAACAAGGCATTTAGATAGGAGGATTGATCAAGAAGAGCCGTCCTTCCTTCCTTCCTTCCTTCCTTCCTTCCTTCCTTCCTTCCTTCCTTCCTTCCTTCCTTCCTTCCTTCCTTCCGTCCTTAGCATATGTATAATAACATTGCCAGTGTAGAGATATTCTGACCTGTGGAGCCAGGCTCTGGGACCTCAGACCAAGATGCATATGCTACCCATCCGTAAAGAAGTGAGAATGTTCTGCACTACAGGACAACTCCAGATCAGTATGTTGTGAACTGTCTTGGGGCAGCTGCACTTTTCTGTGTGCTGGCCTCTGATTTCAGGTGCCATTGCTGTCCACTAGTCCGGCTAACGGTCTCTTCTTCAGCATGCCTTCCGATCTCATTCAGGGTATACTAAATGTAAAGTGTATAGTTCTCACTTAGACAATTTGTACTGGCTTGCTCGCTCTTGTGTACATGCCCTGTCTTTGACATATAAGTCTTTTTAATTTCACAGATGACATGTTAATTTATGTCTTCTGTCATATAAATTGTTCAACATACAGTTGCAAACAAAATTAAGCCCTTCATTAGTGAGTTGCTTCCTTTGATTTCTCTTTTCCCCTCTGGATATTCTCTCACTTTTCCATGGTGGGTGATGTGTTAATTAAAGTTCATTATTGGTCTCTGAGATGCCTCTTTCCTTTGTCATTTTGTGGCATGAGGAACCAGTTGGTCTTGGCTTAATAATACCTGGCTTTGGGTAATTTGGATCTTACCTCTCCAGGTGCCCATCTCATGCCCTGACACTGTGTCAGGGATATTTGGTGTACTTTAATATTCCCAGTAACGAGTCCTGGCTGGGTGCATGAACCCAGGAGCTATAAATGCAGGAGCCTGTCCTACTACCAGTCTCTATGTTTGGCAAGATACCATTTAGGTTCTGGCTTCTTCAGGACTGAATTCAGCAATTTTCTTAGTTTGGGTTTCTATTGCTATAGTGAAACACCATGGCCAGAAGCCAGTCAGGGAGGAAAGGGCTTATTTGACATACACTTCCAGATATAGTCCATCATTGGAGGAAGCCAGTTCAGGAACTCAAGATGGGTGGGAACCAAGAGGTAGGAGCTGATGCAGAGGCCATGGACAGGGTGCTGCTCACTGACTTATCCTTCC